AAGCGAGATTGGGTGTTGAGGCGCATGGGTACGTCTCGAGGAGGTGAAGCACGTCCGTGACATGGTTGCGGTACAGACCCTGGTCGCATGCATGCAGGCAGGCAGGCAGGCAGGGAGAAGAGATGAGGGAGCGGGGAGAGACGGGAGAGAAGCGAGATTGGGTGTTGAGGCGCATGGGTACGTCTCGAGGAGGTGAAGCACGTCCGTGACATGGTTGCGGTACAGACCCTGGTCGCATGCATGCAGGCAGGCAGGCAGGCAGGGAGAAGAGATGAGGGAGCGGGGAGAGACGGGAGAGAAGCGAGATTGGGTGTTGAGGCGCATGGGTACGTCTCGAGGAGGTGAAGCACGTCCGTGACATGGTTGCGGTACAGACCCTGGTCGCATGCATGCAGGCAGGCAGGCAGGCAGGGAGAAGAGATGAGGGAGCGGGGAGAGACGGGAGAGAAGCGAGATTGGGTGTTGAGGCGCATGGGTACGTCTCGAGGAGGTGAAGCACGTCCGTGACATGGTTGCGGTACAGACCCTGGTCGCATGCATGCAGGCAGGCAGGCAGGCAGGGAGAAGAGATGAGGGAGCGGGGAGAGACGGGAGAGAAGCGAGATTGGGTGTTGAGGCGCATGGGTACGTCTCGAGGAGGTGAAGCACGTCCGTGACATGGTTGCGGTACAGACCCTGGTCGCATGCATGCAGGCAGGCAGGCAGGCAGGGAGAAGAGATGAGGGAGCGGGGAGAGACGGGAGAGAAGCGAGATTGGGTGTTGAGGCGCATGGGTACGTCTCGAGGAGGTGAAGCACGTCCGTGACATGGTTGCGGTACAGACCCTGGTCGCATGCATGCAGGCAGGCAGGCAGGCAGGGAGAAGAGATGAGGGAGCGGGGAGAGACGGGAGAGAAGCGAGATTGGGTGTTGAGGCGCATGGGTACGTCTCGAGGAGGTGAAGCACGTCCGTGACATGGTTGCGGTACAGACCCTGGTCGCATGCATGCAGGCAGGCAGGCAGGCAGGGAGAAGAGATGAGGGAGCGGGGAGAGACGGGAGAGAAGCGAGATTGGGTGTTGAGGCGCATGGGTACGTCTCGAGGAGGTGAAGCACGTCCGTGACATGGTTGCGGTACAGACCCTGGTCGCATGCATGCAGGCAGGCAGGCAGGCAGGGAGAAGAGATGAGGGAGCGGGGAGAGACGGGAGAGAAGCGAGATTGGGTGTTGAGGCGCATGGGTACGTCTCGAGGAGGTGAAGCACGTCCGTGACATGGTTGCGGTACAGACCCTGGTCGCATGCATGCAGGCAGGCAGGCAGGCAGGGAGAAGAGATGAGGGAGCGGGGAGAGACGGGAGAGAAGCGAGATTGGGTGTTGAGGCGCATGGGTACGTCTCGAGGAGGTGAAGCACGTCCGTGACATGGTTGCGGTACAGACCCTGGTCGCATGCATGCAGGCAGGCAGGCAGGCAGGGAGAAGAGATGAGGGAGCGGGGAGAGACGGGAGAGAAGCGAGATTGGGTGTTGAGGCGCATGGGTACGTCTCGAGGAGGTGAAGCACGTCCGTGACATGGTTGCGGTACAGACCCTGGTCGCATGCATGCAGGCAGGCAGGCAGGCAGGGAGAAGAGATGAGGGAGCGGGGAGAGACGGGAGAGAAGCGAGATTGGGTGTTGAGGCGCATGGGTACGTCTCGAGGAGGTGAAGCACGTCCGTGACATGGTTGCGGTACAGACCCTGGTCGCATGCATGCAGGCAGGCAGGCAGGCAGGGAGAAGAGATGAGGGAGCGGGGAGAGACGGGAGAGAAGCGAGATTGGGTGTTGAGGCGCATGGGTACGTCTCGAGGAGGTGAAGCACGTCCGTGACATGGTTGCGGTACAGACCCTGGTCGCATGCATGCAGGCAGGCAGGCAGGCAGGGAGAAGAGATGAGGGAGCAGGGAGAGACGGGAGAGAAGCGAGATTGGGTGTTGAGGCGCATGGGTACGTCTCGAGGAGGTGAAGCACGTCCGTGACATGGTTGCGGTACAGACCCTGGTCGCATGCATGCAGGCAGGCAGGCAGGCAGGGAGAAGAGATGAGGGAGCGGGGAGAGACGGGAGAGAAGCGAGATTGGGTGTTGAGGCGCATGGGTACGTCTCGAGGAGGTGAAGCACGTCCGTGACATGGTTGCGGTACAGACCCTGGTCGCATGCATGCAGGCAGGCAGGCAGGCAGGGAGAAGAGATGAGGGAGCGGGGAGAGACGGGAGAGAAGCGAGATTGGGTGTTGAGGCGCATGGGTACGTCTCGAGGAGGTGAAGCACGTCCGTGACATGGTTGCGGTACAGACCCTGGTCGCATGCATGCAGGCAGGCAGGCAGGCAGGGAGAAGAGATGAGGGAGCGGGGAGAGACGGGAGAGAAGCGAGATTGGGTGTTGAGGCGCATGGGTACGTCTCGAGGAGGTGAAGCACGTCCGTGACATGGTTGCGGTACAGACCCTGGTCGCATGCATGCAGGCAGGCAGGCAGGCAGGGAGAAGAGATGAGGGAGCGGGGAGAGACGGGAGAGAAGCGAGATTGGGTGTTGAGGCGCATGGGTACGTCTCGAGGAGGTGAAGCACGTCCGTGACATGGTTGCGGTACAGACCCTGGTCGCATGCATGCAGGCAGGCAGGCAGGCAGGCAGGGAGAAGAGATGAGGGAGCGGGGAGAGACGGGAGAGAAGCGAGATTGGGTGTTGAGGCGCATGGGTACGTCTCGAGGAGGTGAAGCACGTCCGTGACATGGTTGCGGTACAGACCCTGGTCGCATGCATGCAGGCAGGCAGGCAGGCAGGGAGAAGAGATGAGGGAGCGGGGAGAGACGGGAGAGAAGCGAGATTGGGTGTTGAGGCGCATGGGTACGTCTCGAGGAGGTGAAGCACGTCCGTGACATGGTTGCGGTACAGACCCTGGTCGCATGCATGCAGGCAGGCAGGCAGGCAGGGAGAAGAGATGAGGGAGCGGGGAGTGCGGGAAGAGAAGCGAGATTGGGTGTTGAGGCGCATGGGTACGTCTCGAGGAGGTGAAGCACGTCCGTGACATGGTTGCGGTACAGACCCTGGTCGCATGCATGCAGGCAGGCAGGCAGGCAGGGAGAAGAGATGAGGGAGCGGGGAGAGACGGGAGAGAAGCGAGATTGGGTGTTGAGGCGCATGGGTACGTCTCGAGGAGGTGAAGCACGTCCGTGACATGGTTGCGGTACAGACCCTGGTCGCATGCATGCAGGCAGGCAGGCAGGCAGGGAGAAGAGATGAGGGAGCGGGGAGAGACGGGAGAGAAGCGAGATTGGGTGTTGAGGCGCATGGGTACGTCTCGAGGAGGTGAAGCACGTCCGTGACATGGTTGCGGTACAGACCCTGGTCGCATGCATGCAGGCAGGCAGGCAGGCAGGGAGAAGAGATGAGGGAGCGGGGAGAGACGGGAGAGAAGCGAGATTGGGTGTTGAGGCGCATGGGTACGTCTCGAGGAGGTGAAGCACGTCCGTGACATGGTTGCGGTACAGACCCTGGTCGCATGCATGCAGGCAGGCAGGCAGGCAGGGAGAAGAGATGAGGGAGCGGGGAGAGACGGGAGAGAAGCGAGATTGGGTGTTGAGGCGCATGGGTACGTCTCGAGGAGGTGAAGCACGTCCGTGACATGGTTGCGGTACAGACCCTGGTCGCATGCATGCAGGCAGGCAGGCAGGCAGGGAGAAGAGATGAGGGAGCGGGGAGAGACGGGAGAGAAGCGAGATTGGGTGTTGAGGCGCATGGGTACGTCTCGAGGAGGTGAAGCACGTCCGTGACATGGTTGCGGTACGGACCCTGGTCGCATGCATGCAGGCAGGCAGGCAGGCAGGGAGAAGAGATGAGGGAGCGGGGAGAGACGGGAGAGAAGCGAGATTGGGTGTTGAGGCGCATGGGTACGTCTCGAGGAGGTGAAGCACGTCCGTGACATGGTTGCGGTACAGACCCTGGTCGCATGCATGCAGGCAGGCAGGCAGGCAGGGAGAAGAGATGAGGGAGCGGGGAGAGACGGGAGAGAAGCGAGATTGGGTGTTGAGGCGCATGGGTACGTCTCGAGGAGGTGAAGCACGTCCGTGACATGGTTGCGGTACAGACCCTGGTCGCATGCATGCAGGCAGGCAGGCAGGCAGGGAGAAGAGATGAGGGAGCGGGGAGAGACGGGAGAGAAGCGAGATTGGGTGTTGAGGCGCATGGGTACGTCTCGAGGAGGTGAAGCACGTCCGTGACATGGTTGCGGTACAGACCCTGGTCGCATGCAGGGAGGGGGTGTAGGGGAGAGAGGGCAGAGATGGGAGAGAAGGGAAACTGGCTGCTGGGAAATTGACTGTGAAGCACATCTGTGACATGGTTGCGGTAAAGACCCTGCTCGCATGCAGGAAGCGAGGAAGGAGAGAGTGGGAGTTGGGAGTGGGAGAGAAGGGAGATTGGGTACTGAGGAGGAAACATGGATATGTTGAGGAAGTGAAACCTGCCTGTGACCCCTGCACTCACTTCCTGCATTCCTACAGGTATAAAAAATATTCATGCACACACCATCCATCCATCCATCCATCCATCCATAAAAATCACGCATCTCCACCATGCTCACGATGCCAGCATTCGTGCGTGCAACAAACAGTCTTCATGCACAACTTTTGAGGCGCCTCAAAAATGATGCCGGCATTTGAGGCGCCTAAAAAATGATGCCGGCATTCGTGCATGCAACAAACAGTCTTCATGCACACATGCCCATCACACATCCCCAATGGTCACACTTTATCAGCACCCACCTCCACCATACTCATGATGCCGGCATTCGCGTCGCCCCCAGCGGGAAACCCCATGGCAATGACCCCAGCAGTGATGTACGTCATATCCAGGTCGAACCCGCCCTGCTGAAACCGCCTCTTGCCATGCGACGCCAGTCCACACATACCGCAACACATGCGCCACCACACGCACCGACACACGCAGCCATATATGCACCACTACATGCACGCGCGCATGCGTACTACCCATCCAAACCCACCTCCACCATGCTCATGATGCCGGCATTCACGTCGCCCCCAGCGGGAAACCCCATGGCAATGACCCCAGCAGTGATGTACGTCATATCCAGGTCAAACCCGCCCTGCTGGAACCGCCTCTTGCCATGCGACGCCATGTGCTTCGCCTGCGTCTGAATCGCCTTCGCCGCACTCTGCGACCGCTCCACCAGCCCCTTCGTCCTATCCTGAATCACCTTCGAACCGTCCTGTAACACCTTCGTACCGCCCGCAATCCCTTTCTTTCCCTCTTCCACCCACTCCATCGTCCCTTCAACAATCTCCTTCCTCCCTTCCTCCACCAACTCTTTAGTCGCCTCCATCAACCCTCTCGTCCCTATCACAAACCCCTTAGTACCTTCCCCTACGAGCTCCTTTGTCCCTTCGACCAGGCCTTTAGTCCCATCCAATAAACCCTTCTTACTCTCCTCCACCCACCCCCTTGTACCCTCCATGAATCCCTTAGTAAAAGACCCAAGGGCTTGGCTTGCAGTCGCGGCGGCTGCTGCTGCTGCCGCTGCCGCTGCTGCGCCTGCAGCTGCTGCTTGCTCCTGCGCCTGCGCCTGTGCACGAGCTGTCGCCTGTGCCTTAGCCAGCTTCTCAGCCTTTAACTGAGCCTGCCTTTGTGCTTTAGCCTCTGCTTCTGCTTGCTTCTCTGCCTCTTTCTCTGCCTGTTCTTGTGCCTCTGCCTCTTCCTCCCCTACCCCTACGTCACCCTCTTCTGAGGCAATCGCTTTCCCCTTGTCAGCAGAACTCAGCCTAATGCCTCCTCCTCCTCCCTCCGACCCTGCCTCTTCGCCTATTTCCCCAGCAGCATCATCACCAGCACCAGCATCATCACCAGCACCAGCACCATCACCAGCACCAGCACTCCCACTGCCACCCTTGGTCTCCTCCCCATCCTCCTCCTCATCGCCCTCACTACCCAGGGCATCCATGACAGCAGCAAACGCCGCTTCTGTATCTTCATCCGCGTCCTCCCCTGCTGTCGCCGCCCACTCTAATATTTCCGCCACTAAGTCATCCCCCCCGTCAACGTCCCCCACCTCCCCCGCTTCCCCTCCCTCCTCCCCCTCATTCTCTGCCTTCTGAGTCACCCCCTCCTTCCCAACCGCTCCTTCCGCCTTCACTTTCTCCACCTCCACTTCCTTCGTTTCTGCATCTCCCGCCGTCCGCCCCTCCTCCCGTGTTTCTGTCCCTGGCCCTTTCTCTCCTTCGCCCTCCTTTACTCCTCCTCCCTGTGCGCTCTCTCCTGCAACACTGCCTCCGGCCACCACTGCTGCTGCCACCTTCCCTTCTCCCTTCCCTTCTGCCTTGCCTTCTCCTTTCCCTCCACCCGTCTTTCCTCCCTTTTCACTACCATCCCCCTTTCCGATCCCCTCTGCACCCGCACCAACCCCACCTGTTCCACCCTGCCTCTCCCCACCCCTCCCTCCACCACCACCCCTTCCTCTCCCCCTGCCCCTCCCTGCACCAGGAACAGCAGCAGCCGGAGCAGGAGCAGCTGAGACCGAGAACGACTGCCACAGCTGCTGCATCCCAGCCGCTGCTGCTGCCGCCGCCTCTGCTGCTGCCTGCCTGCCACTGCCGCTCCCGCTCCCACTCCCACCGCTCGCACTGCCACTGCTACTCCCTCCAGGCGCGCCCGTGCCCTTCTCAGAGAGCGACGTGAAGAACGACCCCAGGGCAGCGCGCGCGTTCTCCTGCAGCTTCTCCGCGCTTTTCAGCACCTCCTTGGCGGACTCCCGCACTGCTGCGCTGTCCACTGCCGCTCCCCCAACTAACCCGCCCAGCCCTGCTGCTCCGCCTGATGCGCTGCGCACCACTGGAACCCCTCCCCCTCCTTCCCCTGCTGCTGCTCCGCCAACTCCCGCTCCTGCTGCTGCTGCGCCTCCAGGCCCAGCAGTAGCACCAGACGTGCTTCTTGTCCCACCTGCGCCTTCTTTTCTCCCTTCTCCTCTTCCTCGTCCTCGTCCTGCTGACCCACTGGCACTACCCCCCTCACCTCCACCTGCTCTCCCTGTCGCAGGGCTTGGCGAAGAGTCAGGCGAAGGGCTGGCGAGCGACGAACGAAGCGACTGCAGGCCCTTGGAGAAGAGCGAGTAACCGGGTAACGCCTGCGCCTGCTCCAGTAGTGAGGCCGGCGGAGCAGATGCCTCAGCGGTGTACCGCCTTACCGCGTCAGACGCTGGTTTCGCGGACCTACCGCTGCTGCTGGTAGTCCTAGTAGCTTCCCTACCTCTTCCCCTTCCTCCGCTTCCCCCTCGGCCGCTTCCCCCTCCGCGCACCTCGCTTCCCTGCGCTTCACCATTTCCGCCCCTTCCGCCAGCCGTTGCGCCGTCCTCCCGCCTCTCCGCAACGCCTTCGTTGCGGCGAGCAGGGCCCGACGACGTGGCAGGATCACGATCAGAATCAACCGACGGTGCCACGTCAGAAGGAACTGGCTGAACGTCGGAACCAGCAGAAATGGGACCGCTTGCGTCTCCTGCTGACGAGGATACGGGCGTGTCTGACGCCACTGGTGTACCGTCTGCTGCAGCTGGCGATTGGTCAGACTGTACCGTGGTGGTGGATGCGAGTGCAGAGCCCGTTACAGTCTCCGCAACAGGTCCAGGCGTATCCGGTACCGTGGTGGTGGATCCGAGTGCCGCAGAGCTCCTGACAGGCTCCGAATCCGCTGGTGCAGGCGTATCTGACGCAGGCGTATCTGATGAAGCGGAATCTGGCGCAGGTGTTGCCTGTACCGAAGTTGTTGCATCTGCCGGTGGGGTATCCGTCGCAGAAGGTTCGTGCGACAATTCCGCAGCTGACGAATCCATGGCTCCGGATCAGTCCAAAACCGACTTCTTTAAGAGAGATCCTTCAGTTCGAGCAACAATTTTTACTACTCAACAAAAGGAAGGAGGCTGATAGAGGGTGATACTTGAGTGAGCTCTTCAATGTACGTGTAAAACGCTACGCTTCGCGCGAAAATGCGTTTACTTCAAGAAAGGAAGGTTGAATAAGCCAACCGGACACGACAACATGTCCCACAACTGAGCTATGTCAATGTCTAGAGGATGATAAAATTCTCGTATTACAAGTGCTTCTCTTCTGTTGGCCTTCTGCTGATGTCAGTGGCAACCAAATTCCAATACTGTAGGCGGGGAGATCCCAAGGTCAGGGGAAAGGGAAGGCAGCCAAATCTTGCGTCAAGAAGCGGCGAATGTCTGCGATCCTTTTTCGAGCCTCGGTAACACGGCGAAGGCGTCTAGAAGGCTGGTGTCAGCTGATCGGTTTGAACCCGATTCGTGGCTCGTTACAATGCTTGTACTAAGGGCGCGTAACCATTTTGGTTTTGACGGTTCGTTATTCGGACAGTCCGTTCGAAACACTGGTTACACGTTTCGCCATTGCTCGCAGATGTTTCACAAGTAGCCCTGCGACGTCGCCGTCGCAACATAACCGTACTGAACTTTTTCCGCAAAACGGAGGGAAACCGTCACTTGCATGGTTACGGTTCGTCAGCAATGAACTGATCAAATATGGCGATTTGTGGTTGGCGCGCGAAATTCTTCTGTACTCGCGGGGAAAACTGAAACTGACATTCTTTCGGTGAACTCATTCATGAACGTGCGAAATTGTTGGCCGAGCCGCATATATTGGCTCACGAAAATTGCGAGAGCTGTATGATTGCGTAACAGTCGTTATTTTCGCGTGAGTTCAAAACATCAAAAAAGTTCAACAAGACGGTTCAAATGTTTGCGTTCTGTTTCGTTGGACGGACGGTTCGTTATGTGCAATGGAACCGTCCATCTGTCGAGCGTTCGTTCAAAACGTAACTTCAGGAAAAACAAAAATGGTTACGCGCCCTAAGTTCTCAATTCTTGATGTGTATGATAACTGTACGAATAATCAAACGCTTTCTCAAAACCGAGGAACTCTGGGACTCCTCCACATAGATTGCGCACAGGGACATAATTTCCTCAACCTATTTCAAGCTCACTCCGTAATGCGCCGCGAACTGTGATCCCTTTTCGGCTTGGTCGCCACGACTGGCGATCAATGCAGCTGCGATTGCGAGCTTGAAATATTGAAGTCACGCTGGGGGATCAAAACAAACACAGTTGCACCAATCAACTCGCGAGACGAGGGATGGCACTGGTGCTGATTTGCGGCCAGCCGTGCAGTGGCAAGTCTACAGTAGCGAGGCAGCTTGTAGCGTCTCTCGAGGCTGCTATTAACGAGCAGCAGAATAGCACTCCCGGCGATAGTAGATTAAGTGTGGTCCTCCTAGGCGAGGAGCAGCTTCACATAGGCCGCGACGATGGCTATCAAAGTACGTAATTTATTCTGCAGGGGGTTTCTGGGAGTGTTTTAAATTGGGGTACTGTTACTGTCACTGTCACACGAGTTACAAGTTCTTACTCATTCGCTGCGTTACACCAGTCAACCCTCGGTGAATTCTCATTCATCCCTCGGTCAATCCCGGTCAATTCCCGGTCAACCGTGCAGATATGGTGGCCGAGAAGAATCTGCGAGGATCGCTGCGATCGGAAGTGGATCGCGCGGTCGGCAAGGATCGAATTGTGATCGTTGATTCGCTGAACGCCATCAAGGGGTACCGATACGAGCTGTGGTGCCTGGCACGTGCTGCTGCCACCAAATACTGCGTGGTGAGTGCGATGCAGTGAGTGTGAGCGGTGTGTCTGCGTTGTGAGCCTGTGAATAACCTTATTTTGCATCCCTTTGCATCCCTCTGCACCCCCCTATCCTTCCCCTTCCCCTTCCCCTTTTTCAATCCCCCGCTCCCCCCATTTCGCCAGGTGCATTGCGACGTGGCGGCAGAGACGGCAAGGGAGTGGAACGACAGGCGCAGAGACGCAGGAGAGCCCTGCTACGCTCCCCATATGTGAGTGCGGAGATAGTTGGTTCGTGGGAGCTTTTGTTGGGATCCTTCTGAGAGTCAGCCAAAGCAGGGGAGTCCTGCCACTTTTCCCTACAGCCCTGGAGCCCGAATTTGCCACTTTTCCTATATTCAATTTCACTATTCTTCTCTCTCCCCCTGCTCCGAACTTCCCCCGCCCTGCTCTCTCTCCTCCTCATCCTCCCCTCCGCAACCACCCTCCACCCCCCGCCCCCCTTCCCATCTATTCCGTTCACCAATTCTCTTCACCACGCCATCCCTTCCCCCCCTTTCGCCATGCCACCCCTCTACTCATCTCTGCCCGTTATCAGTTTGGAGGATCTGTTGGGTCGATTCGAAAGGCCGGTGGGTCGCAATCGCTGGGACTCGCCCCTCTTTGAACTTCATCCTGCCGCCGGTATGTGATGCAGCCAGTGATATTTGATGCAGCCAGTGGCATGCAATGCAGGCAGGGATATTCAAAGGAATGCATCTGATGATAACCGGATGTGGATTCAGTGGTAAGTGTTGAATGGTGAAGGGCAAGCGGTGGATCGTGGGTTGTGAGACTCCTGGTGGACACAAGATGCAGAGGCTGTCGGAGTGTCGCTCCTCTAAACTGTCTTTTAACAGCTGCTTGAATACCCTTCTTCCTACCCGTAATCCCCGTGCTGCCAGAGCAAGCGGCAGAGGAGGCAGAGCAGGTTATAGGCGAGGTGGTGACACTGCTTGTGGGAGGAAGCGGAGCAGCAAACGGACGGGGGCGAGCAGGCATGGCGTTGCAACCAACAGTTGCCACTCAGACAGTGAGCCCCCTCCTGACAGCAGACCTTTTTCATAAATCGCATGCACAGATTTCACTCACCTGCTCATTCACAAATGAGCTAGCCAATTATATCACTGCAGCCCTTGGCTTCGAGTGCTATCAACTTAATGAGTCTAACGCTTGATGAAATTTCCCTTTGTCTTGGATGGTGCAGGCTACAGCGTCAGATGCCAATGTGCTGTATGAGATGGACCGGGCCACAAAGGTAAGGAAAAGACTGAGGGTTCAGGTGGTCCGAGTCAGTGCTGTCTGCTGTACACCATGCCTGCTGGGCTGGGCAGTATGCTGATCGCTTCATTACTTGACAGCGGTTTCTTTGCCCTCGCCTCCCTTTCCCCCTCTCCCTTCTTTCCGAAGCACACATACACTTGCACACGCGCATGCGCTCACACACACACACCTCTTACATACTGATCGTTCTCTTCCCCTGTGACTTTCTTTCTTTCCCAGGAGGTGATTTCCGCCGTGATGGATGCTCAGGCATCGCTAGGAGGCGCCTCATCACCATTCACAGTAGATTTGGGACCAAGTAACAACATAGTATTACGGCGGCCCGTTGGTCTTCCGGAATTGCAACGGTTGCGTAGGACATTTGTTCGCCTGGCTGGGCAAGCTGCTTTGTCTGGGAATGCACCGCCCAAGGATGCAGAGTCGGCAAAAAGATTCTTTGCTGAGTACATTGTTCGAGAGGTTACATGAAACCTCGTTAAATGTGTAATGTGGTATTTCCTGAGTTGATGTTTAAGCTAATGCCTTTCTGTATGCCTCCCCTTGTCAAGATTCTGCTAAAATACCAATGGCAAAGCTTGTGTGTGACTCCACAACTGGTAGATTTCTATGTAGTAGTTTGGTTTGGCTACTAGAAACACTGTGGTTGCACACAATATATGTAGGAAATGAGGATTGATTGAAATGATCATGTTGTATATTCAAAGATTGTGCGACTGATTTGTTTTGGGTGGCTTTCCACCACCGCCCTCGAGCTCCACATCCCTCGCCACTCCCAAAGCATCCTCGTCAACCTTCCCTCTTCGTACTCTGTTACCCTTCGCAAGGTCTCCGCCAAACACGTATCTTTCGCCGCGGATTCTCCCTGCCTCCAACTCTGCGCGATTTCTGTCCCAGGCACAGCCTTTCCGGGGGAAACTCCCCCAACCTTTTCCCTCGCTTCCGCTTCCCTCCTCTCCCTCCCCTCCCTGTCTCCCTTCCCTCCTCTCTGCCTCTCCCCTCCTATCCTTCCCCATTTGTCACACCTCTCCCTCCCCTGCCCTGCTCCCTCCGCCATTGACCTATTCTCGGTATTTTGGCTCTCCTCTTTTCTCCTCTACCTCCTTTTCCGCCCTTGAGCCAGAATCCTCCCTGGCCCCATAGGCCTGCGTGGTGCCGCGCATACTCCTCCGCACCATAGACGAGCGTCTTTTCTTTTCCAAGTTTTTAGTTTAATCGCAGAAGAAAAAGGGCAGGATGGTGGCCACAGGAACAACCGTGAAGGACGTGTCGCCGCATGCCTTCGTCAAGGCATATGCGGCTCACTTGAAGCGCACAGGCAAGGTGATCACTATGACAATAACGAGGGCGATCGGGAGTAGCTGCGGCAATATCCAGGGGCATAGCCTAGACATCCCTAAGGCCTCTCAGAAGCAGACAAGCGCTGGGGAAAATGGGAAGGATTTTTATCTTTGGATTCGGTGGTGCTATAGCCACAGCCAGTAGTTAATTTGCAGGTTAGGCGACTAGAGAGCGTCTGACGTTCAGGGAGGAGATGGCGCTAGGACCATACGTTGCGCGTAGGTTTCCAACGCGCGAGGGACGGAGGCGTAATTATGAAAGGGGAGTTTCAACTGACCTGGTTTTGAGTCGATTCACAAGCGAAACCCTAGTTGCGGAGGGAATGCTACTCTTCATGTTGATTTGCTGGGTCCGTTACCCAGTTGCCATCACGTTTTTTCACTCGTGGTATTGCTTTTTGAAAGGGGTGGCTCGTCTCCGTTGCGCGATTAGGCGATGAAGCTGCCGCAGAGGGTCGTCAGGCGGATCGTCGAGCTGCTGCTGTCTCTGATGTTAGGGTTTCGCAGTTCTGAGGTCGTCGCGTGGTCATAACGGCGTGTCCCGATACGCTTCACTAGGATGTCGTGTCTCGTATGCGATGAAAGAATCGGGTACTTGACGAATCACAGGTGTCCACTCGAGTTAAAGTTATCGCGTGTGCGTGCGGATATTCTTCCGCAGCTCGTGGGTAGACGATACTTTGTCAGCAGAAAATAGGTTACCCCGAACTGCATCAAGCAGCACGTCTCCCGGCAGTTCACGCATTCAGAACGCCACCCTTTTTATCCTCCATTCCTTTCTCCCTTCCCTCTTTCTCTTCCTTCTCTGTGCCGCAGTGCCGCTCCCTCTTCCTCTTTGGTCTCGCACATTTACTTTTCTCTTCATCACTTTTCCCCCCTTGTCTGGTTTTAGCTCCTTATTCCCCTCTTTCCCTCCCTCTCCTCAGTCTCGACCATTTGATCCGAATCATAGGTCCGCATTGTCGCTCGTTTCCATTACCCCATCTGCTCCCTCATCCCTCCTGCCTCTCTTGCGTGACCGCATCAGGTGAAGGTTTCTATATGGGCTGACGTCGCTTCAATACTTTTCAGCCTCGTTCTTGCTCGTTTCCCCTCCCCCGCCCTCCCCCACCCTCTTCCCCCCCTTCTCTCCCTTGCGTGACCGCATCAGGTGGAGGTTCCCACATGGGCTGACATCGTCAAGACAGGAACCTACAAGGAACTTGCGCCCTATGATCCCGATTGGTACTACATCCGCGCTGGTACGTATCGCCTCTATGCATCGTGTATTGGAATTTTTTTTTAGGCGCCTCGGAGATAGTTTCTTAATATTTCTTGAATGCATCGTTCACTGAGTGCAACAACAGGCATTACGAAATATTGTTGTTGCATTTTCACATTCTCACTCGCTCCCACTCTCATTCGCTTGCATTCCTCTCTCACCTCTTGTATAAGGCATCCATTCCAGTGGTGTCGTAGCTGCTGCAGTACCTTTTTCCTGGCTCGTGGGTCAGGAGTAGTTCTGGATCGTGCCATATCTGGAGGGTGACCAGCCCGTTAACGTTTATGAACTGCCAAATTTATCACGAAGCTCGTGTTGGTTCTGGAACAACACAACCCCCTTCTTGACTTTCACCTGTGGAAACTCAGCGTTGCCCCCTTTCTTTGATGTTTTCCTGCTGCGTGTCCCTCCTGCAGCCTCCATGGCTCGCAAGGTGTACCTGAAGCCTGGCGTTGGAGTCGGTGCCTTCAAGAAGATCTACGGTACGTATCTTGCGAGGGGAAAAATAAATCTTCTCTGGTTCTTCGCCTCCCGCTCTCCCTCCCCCCTCCCCTTTCTTCCCCCCCCCCCCCCCCCCCCCCCCCCACCATTCTCGCGCTCTGTGTTATCCTTGTTCACGACCAGCACTTGCAGTTTCGCTTGTTTAAGCGCTCGACGGCTCGTCTCGCGCTCTGTGCGTTCATATCGTCTGGGGCTGCGGTTTCTCCGGTCCTCTCTTCTTCCACTCCATCAGGGCCATCCACCCCTCCCTTTCCCTCCTCTTTCTTCTCTGCAATCTGTTCCTGCTGCCGTATCCCTCTATCCCGGTCTCAAATCCTCGCCACATATCCCCCTTCCTTATCCTCCTAACATACCCCACTCATATACCCCCCTCCCGTATCCGCCTAACATGTCCTTCTATTATTCTCCCGGTTCCCCCTTCCCCCTCCCCCCTCTCCCTTCACAGGCGGGCCGAAGAACGTGTAGCGGCCGTCGCACTTCTGCAGGAGCGGCGGATACGTGGCCCGACACAAGTTTTGAGACGTCTCAGAACATATCCCCCTCCTATTCCTCCCCTCTCCCACCCCTCCCATCGCAGGCGGGCCGAAGAACAACGGGTCGCGGCCGTCGCACTTCTGCAGGAGCAGCGGGTCCGTGGCCCGGCACGTGCTGCAGCAGCTCGAGTCCATCGGCATCGTCGAGCAGGACGCCAACGGGTGAGTGGCTGTGTGCGTGGGTTCAGTGAGTGAGTGATTGCGTGTCAAGTCGTGCATGCTGGCTGCAGTGATTGTGACTGTGAGTGGGCTCGGCTGTCGCTTTCAGTGGCCCGGTACGTGCTGCAGCAGCTCGAGTCCATCAGCATCGTCGAGCAGGACGCCAACGGGTGAGCGGGTACCAACGGGTGAGCGTGTGTGTGCTAGAGGGTGAGAGGGCGCAGGACGGTAGTTAGTGGTGGGTGTTATGCGGGCATGAGTGGAAGGGGTTCAGCACGTGCTCTAGCATCTGGAGTCCATCGGGATTTTGCATCGTCGAACAGGACTTCTAGGGGTGAATGAGTGTGTGTGAGGGGTTGAGAGAGAAATCAAGGCTGTGTGTGATGGGGCGCTTCGTACTGAGTGCCATTGGTGGCGTCATGCTGTGGTGACTGTGCATGGCTCAGCAGTCGCTTCAAAGGGCTTAGCATTTGCTGCAGCGGCTGGAGCCTATTGGCGTTGCAGGGAGCAGGACGCCAACGGGTGAGCGGGTCACTTGTAAAGCCTGGCAAAGGAAGCTGGTATTGGTGCAGGCTTCTTTGGGTGAGTGCCTGTGACAGGCTTCTCGTTTCAGGCCTGAGAGGCTGTCAGGCTTTTTTCCATCAAGCCGGGCAAAATGAATGTTCCTGGGAAGAATCCTTTGGACTGGAATGAGGACCTGTTTAGCTAAGATGAGGGTGTGTTGTTTGAGATGTTGCTGTGGGAAAAGTTGAACCACGACTTGTTGCTCCTGTTTTCAGTTGCATTCTCTACTGGTATTTGCTTTCTTGGACTGTGTTTGCAGTGGCCGCCGCATCACCTCTGATGGGCAGCGTGATCTTGACCGTATTGCTGGACGGGCTGCTGCTGCCGCTGTGGAAGGTGCTGAGGAGGAAGAGTAAACTCTTAGCTGTCCTGACATGCACAAGCCTGCTGTGTGAAGAATTCGTAGCACAATGTAGAGCGCCCACGAAATGTCAAGCTTCTTGTGCTTTGAAATGTGATATGGAATCAACAGTCTCACCCAGCTTCTGAAGCTGCATTTCTTTCCACAAACAACCTAAATTTCTTTAATGTTACTAATTTCCTTGTACTGTTGTTCTTATGGGGCGCTATCTTAATCACTGTGAAGGCCTTTCACACCGAATGCCCACGTTTTGCCACCGAGAATGCCGAGCCTGAACCGAGGCCTGACCAAACCAACAAACCCACATTCGCTGGCTCTGCAGAAATACGAACAGCAGCAGCAGTGATAGACTAGACTAGACCAGTATCACTACAGAAACAGCTATCCGACTTCACTTGAGCCTAGGTTACTCCAGGAAACTAGGCTAGATTTGACCTGAAGCCTCCTATTCGGAATAGGGCTCCTGTTTTTAAGACTTCTTCTTATTTGATATTTTTTAGCATCCGACAAGATGCAGGGCGCCGAGGTTTCGAAGCAGGTGCAGCAGATGGTGGAGTTTATCCGTCAAGAGGCCGAGGAGAAGGCTAATGAAATCGCTGTTGCTGCTGAAGAGGTACAGCATGAGCCCGGATATGAACTAGCGATATAGCACGGATAGGAACTAGCGATATTATTCGTCGCGCCATTTACCAGATCCCTAGTTCGAGCCATTTCCGCGACACAATGACGTCGCTGGATCCCTAATGCGATCGCTTTTTTCGTTTCGTTCAGGAGTTCAACATTGAAAAGCTGCAGCTCGTAGAGGCGGAGAAGAGAAAGATCCGTCAAGAATATGAGCGCAAGGAGAAGCAGGTCGAGATCGCGAAGAAAATGTAAGCTCGTCATAGATCCATGATCCATCTAGTTTTAGCTAGGTTAAAGGTCCACATTTCACCCAGATTTCACACTCTTTTTTTTTTGCTGAAACAGCGATTATTCCAAGCAGCTGAATGCCTCGCGACTGAAAGTGCTGCAAGCTCAGGACTCCATTGTCAAAGAGATGAAGGCTGCAGCAGAGAAAGAGCTACTGAAGGTCTCTAGTGACACGAAGAAATACACTGAACTGTTGAAGGATGTGATTGCTCAGGTGAGACTCTTAACAGCTAGCGTTTCTCCTCTGATTGAAACTCCCGTTTGTTTCTCGTATGATGATCCCTTGCTTCCAGAAGCCTGATTTATTCCCATGACTCCTATGGTTCCTACTTGCTTCAGGGACTTGTGCGCCTGAACGAGTCCGCCGTACAGCTTAGATGCCGTGAAGCTGATGTTGCTGCTGTGAAAGCTGCTCTGCCCGGCGCTATCCAGGAGTATGTAACAGTTACCAAGCAAACAGCGCCAACAGTGGATGTGGATACTGTCAAGTTTCTTCCTGCTGCTCCCCACTGGTAAGCCACATCCCAGCCATGTTTCCACAAATGTCTTTGGTTCTGTCATCCTTGTTCCTTCTTGGTGAAGTCTCATGCAATGAGTGCCATGAAATCCTCAACCAACTTATGGCTCAATATTTTTTTATTCCGTGGGCAGTGCTGGAGGTGTTGTGATGGCTTCTAAGGATGGCCGGGTGGTCTGCTCCAACACACTCGATGCTCGTCTTGAGATTGCATTCAAGCAAAACCTTCCTGCCGTGAGTACTTCTTCCTAAACACACTGGCATGGCAATATATATTTTTCATTGCATGGAATTTCATGTTCACGTGATGCTAGACTTGTCCTTTGGTATGATTCTCTGATTTGTTTTCTATTCATGTTTTTCTGCCCATGTTCCCCGCTGTGCACTCCACTCAGATCCGTGCATCCATGTTCAAGACAAGTGTGGTCTCCTAAGCAGCTACGCGTTATAGAATCAAGGACAAGCAATTGAATCAGACATTTGAGGCACTATCAGGCACTATCATATTCAACTTTATGACCCCTTGCTGGGAGGTGACTCCAACCAGTGTGTATGTAGACAGGCGTATAGTAGCATTGAGATGTGTATGACTAAAATTCCATATCATCTTTGTACTAATTCTGCAAAATAATCAAAGATACCATCACATGCAATGGTCCTCTTTCCTGAGATTGGACCATCCGGGGAGGGGACATCCAAGTTTAATTTCATGCAGTTTTACTTGAATTTTTTTACAAAATTGGCAGATAGCCCCACTTGAATCACCTTCCCTCGAGTACCCCCTTCAACCCATCGTGAGCCCGATCCCTGGACCCGTCTGTTTCTTCATGTACTCATCTGACAAACGAGCTTCATTCATCAACTTCTGCTCATGCTCTATCTCCTCCCCTGCCCTTACCAGCTCCTCTAGGGTTTGCTGGACAGTGGGACGAGTGAGAGCAAGGGAGTGTGAAATGACAGGAGGAGAGGACAGAGGACGGGGAAGAACATTTAGGGTAAGCCAAGGTTAGCAAGGAAGGTAGGAGAAATGGGAAGCTGATCGAAAGAGAGAATCACATGAATACCACCGGCATGCGCTCGTGATAAACATGCATCAGCAGCAGGGTGGTAGGAACAGCGTACCGCAGGCGGGTCGACCGAGGGTCTGGTGTCCTTGCCATCGCTGCCATCGTCCCATCTCCTCGGCTTAATCAGCAGCTTACCCACCTTGGATGGCCCTCCGTTGGCTTCCACCCACTTGAAAGGAAGGGGAAAAGGGTGGTCAGAGGAAGTGAGTGGAGAACTGGGTGTGAGCTCTGGTTACAGTCACACTAGCGTGCAGTAACACCAGCTTAAGCTTCACATGCACTGTACACATGCATCTCAACTGCATACGTGGATTTGCTTTGTTACACGTTCCGCCTCAACATACATGCACATGCGCGCACGTGCCGCGCGCGCACACAAACTCACACACACACACACACACACACACACACTCACACACACACACAAACACACACACACACACACACACACACACACACACACACAACACACCCACACACACACATACTTCCAGCACTTTATCATCGTATGTGCGAGATCGGAGCGCGCCATAAAAGTCCAGCGCTGCTCTTGGAGCACGGGGAACAGTAGGGAGGGGGAACAGTAGGGAGGGGGAACAGTAGGGAGGGGGAACAGTAGGGAGGGGGAACAGTAGGGAGGGGGCCACAGAGGGATGGTTGGAGGGGAGCAGTGGGGGATGAGAGAGGACGGATTGTGAAGGGGGTATGGAGGAGGTCAGCGTGAGATGGAGGAGGGAGGAGGGACGCAGGTTTGTTGCACTACCTTACAGAGGGACATGAGCCTCAGGTGATGCTAAGGCAGGGGGGTAGAGGGATGTGCTAGGAGGGACTTTTGAGGCGCCTCTTTTGAAACGATTTTTTAGGCGCCTCTTTTGAAACGATTTTTTGAGGCGCCTCAAAAGTTGCTAAGGCAGGGGGGTAGAGGGATGTGCTAGGAAGGAACGAGGAGGGAACGAGGTGCAAAGCGGGCAAGCGGTTGGGACACAGAGGGCGATCAAAGGAGCACTGTGGGAAAGAAGAAGGAACAGGGAGGGCAGTGAACTAGTCAGAGGTAAATAGTGTGCAGAATAAAAGCAGGAAACTAGTGTGCAGAATAAAAGCAGGAAACTAGTGTGCAGAATAAAAGCAGGAAACTAGTGTGCAGAATAAAAGCAGGAAACTAGTGTGCAGAATAAAAGCAGGAAACTAGTGTGCAGAATAAAAGCAGGAAACTAGTGTGCAGAATAAAAGCAGGAAACTAGTGTGCAGAATAAAAGCAGGAAACTAGTGTGCAGAATAAAAGCAGGAAACTAGTGTGCAGAATAAAAGCAGGAAACTAGTGTGCAGAATAAAAGCAGGAAACTAGTGTGCAGAATAAAAGCAGGAAACTAGTGTGCAGAATAAAAGCAGGAAACTAGTGTGCAGAATAAAAGCAGGAAACTAGTGTGCAGAATAAAAGCAGGAAACTAGTGTGCAGAATAAAAGCAGGAAACTAGTGTGCAGAATAAAAGCAGGAAACTAGTGTGCAGAATAAAAGCAGGAAACTAGTGTGCAGAATAAAAGCAGGAAACTAGTGTGCAGAATAAAAGCAGGAAACTAGTGTGCAGAATAAAAGCAGGAAACTAGTGTGCAGAATAAAAGCAGGAAACTAGTGTGCAGAATAAAAGCAGGAAACTAGTGTGCAGAATAAAAGCAGGAAACTAGTGTGCAGAATAAAAGCAGGAAACTAGTGTGCAGAATAAAAGCAGGAAACTAGTGTGCAGAATAAAAGCAGGAAACTAGTGTGCAGAATAAAAGCAGGAAACTAGTGTGCAGAATAAAAGCAGGAAACTAGTGTGCAGAATAAAAGCAGGAAACTAGTGTGCAGAATAAAAGCAGGAAACTAGTGTGCAGAATAAAAGCAGGAAACTAGTGTGCAGAATAAAAGCAGGAAACTAGTGTGCAGAATAAAAGCAGGAAACTAGTGTGCAGAATAAAAGCAGGAAACTAGTGTGCAGAATAAAAGCAGGAAACTAGTGTGCAGAATAAAAGCAGGAAACTAGTGTGCAGAATAAAAGCAGGAAACTAGTGTGCAGAATAAAAGCAGGAAACTAGTGTGCAGAATAAAAGCAGGAAACTAGTGTGCAGAATAAAAGCAGGAAACTAGTGTGCAGAATAAAAGCAGGAAACTAGTGTGCAGAATAAAAGCAGGAAACTAGTGTGCAGAATAAAAGCAGGAAACTAGTGTGCAGAATAAAAGCAGGAAACTAGTGTGCAGAATAAAAGCAGGAAACTAGTGTGCAGAATAAAAGCAGGAAACTAGTGTGCAGAATAAAAGCAGGAAACTAGTGTGCAGAATAAAAGCAGGAAACTAGTGTGCAGAATAAAAGCAGGAAACTAGTGTGCAGAATAAAAGCAGGAAACTAGTGTGCAGAATAAAAGCAGGAAACTAGTGTGCAGAATAAAAGCAGGAAACTAGTGTGCAGAATAAAAGCAGGAAACTAGTGTGCAGAATAAAAGCAGGAAACTAGTGTGCAGAATAAAAGCAGGAAACTAGTGTGCAGAATAAAAGCAGGAAACTAGTGTGCAGAATAAAAGCAGGAAACTAGTGTGCAGAATAAAAGCAGGAAACTAGTGTGCAGAATAAAAGCAGGAAACTAGTGTGCAGAATAAAAGCAGGAAACTAGTGTGCAGAATAAAAGCAGGAAACTAGTGTGCAGAATAAAAGCAGGAAACTAGTGTGCAGAATAAAAGCAGGAAACTAGTGTGCAGAATAAAGCAGGAAACTAGTGTGCAGAATAAAAGCAGGAAACTAGTGTGCAGAATAAAAGCAGGAAACTAGTGTGCAGAATAAAAGCAGGAAACTAGTGTGCAGAATAAAAGCAGGAAACTAGTGTGCAGAATAAAAGCAGGAAACTAGTGTGCAGAATAAAAGCAGGAAACTAGTGTGCAGAATAAAAGCAGGAAACTAGTGTGCAGAATAAAAGCAGGAAACTAGTGTGCAGAATAAAGCGGAATGTGTGCAGAATAAAAGCAGGAACTAGTGTGCAGAATAAAAGCAGGAAACTAGTGTGCAGAATAAAAGCAGGAAACTAGTGTGCAGAATAAAAGCAGGAACTAGTGTGCAGAATAAAAGCAGGAAACTAGTGTGCAGAATAAAAGCAGGAAACTAGTGTGCAGAATAAAAGCAGGAAACTAGTGTGCAGAATAAAAGCAGGAAACTAGTGTGCAGAATAAAAGCAGGAAACTAGTGTGCAGAATAAAAGCAGGAAACTAGTGTGCAGAATAAAAGCAGGAAACTAGTGTGCAGAATAAAAGCAGGAAACTAGTGTGCAGAATAAAAGCAGGAAACTAGTGTGCAGAATAAAAGCAGGAAACTAGTGTGCAGAATAAAAGCAGGAAACTAGTGTGCAGAATAAAAGCAGGAAACTAGTGTGCAGAATAAAAGCAGGAAACTAGTGTGCAGAATAAAAGCAGGAAACTAGTGTGCAGAATAAAAGCAGGAAACTAGTGTGCAGAATAAAAGCAGGAAACTAGTGTGCAGAATAAAAGCAGGAAACTAGTGTGCAGAATAAAAGCAGGAAACTAGTGTGCAGAATAAAAGCAGGAAACTAGTGTGCAGAATAAAAGCAGGAAACTAGTGTGCAGAATAAAAGCAGGAAACTAGTGTGCAGAATAAAAGCAGGAAACTAGTGTGCAGAATAAAAGCAGGAAACTAGTGTGCAGAATAAAAGCAGGAAACTAGTGTGCAGAATAAAAGCAGGAAACTAGTGTGCAGAATAAAAGCAGGAAACTAGTGTGCAGAATAAAAGCAGGAAACTAGTGTGCAGAATAAAAGCAGGAAACTAGTGTGCAGAATAAAAGCAGGAAACTAGTGTGCAGAATAAAAGCAGGAAACTAGTGTGCAGAATAAAAGCAGGAAACTAGTGTGCAGAATAAAAGCAGGAAACTAGTGTGCAGAATAAAAGCAGGAAACTAGTGTGCAGAATAAAAGCAGGAAACTAGTGTGCAGAATAAAAGCAGGAAACTAGTGTGCAGAATAAAAGCAGGAAACTAGTGTGCAGAATAAAAGCAGGAAACTAGTGTGCAGAATAAAAGCAGGAAACTAGTGTGCAGAATAAAAGCAGGAAACTAGTGTGCAGAATAAAAGCAGGAAACTAGTGTGCAGAATAAAAGCAGGAAACTAGTGTGCAGAATAAAAGCAGGAAACTAGTGTGCAGAATAAAAGCAGGAAACTAGTGTGCAGAATAAAAGCAGGAAACTAGTGTGCAGAATAAAAGCAGGAAACTAGTGTGCAGAATAAAAGCAGGAAACTAGTGTGCAGAATAAAAGCAGGAAACTAGTGTGCAGAATAAAAGCAGGAAACTAGTGTGCAGAATAAAAGCAGGAAACTAGTGTGCAGAATAAAAGCAGGAAACTAGTGTGCAGAATAAAAGCAGGAAACTAGTGTGCAGAATAAAAGCAGGAAACTAGTGTGCAGAATAAAAGCAGGAAACTAGTGTGCAGAATAAAAGCAGGAAACTAGTGTGCAGAATAAAAGCAGGAAACTAGTGTGCAGAATAAAAGCAGGAAACTAGTGTGCAGAATAAAAGCAGGAAACTAGTGTGCAGAATAAAAGCAGGAAACTAGTGTGCAGAATAAAAGCAGGAAACTAGTGTGCAGAATAAAAGCAGGAAACTAGTGTGCAGAATAAAAGCAGGAAACTAGTGTGCAGAATAAAAGCAGGAAACTAGTGTGCAGAATAAAAGCAGGAAACTAGTGTGCAGAATAAAAGCAGGAAACTAGTGTGCAGAATAAAAGCAGGAAACTAGTGTGCAGAATAAAAGCAGGAAACTAGTGTGCAGAATAAAAGCAGGAAACTAGTGTGCAGAATAAAAGCAGGAAACTAGTGTGCAGAATAAAAGCAGGAAACTAGTGTGCAGAATAAAAGCAGGAAACTAGTGTGCAGAATAAAAGCAGGAAACTAGTGTGCAGAATAAAAGCAGGAAACTAGTGTGCAGAATAAAAGCAGGAAACTAGTGTGCAGAATAAAAGCAGGAAACTAGTGTGCAGAATAAAAGCAGGAAACTAGTGTGCAGAATAAAAGCAGGAAACTAGTGTGCAGAATAAAAGCAGGAAACTAGTGTGCAGAATAAAAGCAGGAAACTAGTGTGCAGAATAAAAGCAGGAAACTAGTGTGCAGAATAAAAGCAGGAAACTAGTGTGCAGAATAAAAGCAGGAAACTAGTGTGCAGAATAAAAGCAGGAAACTAGTGTGCAGAATAAAAGCAGGAAACTAGTGTGCAGAATAAAAGCAGGAAACTAGTGTGCAGAATAAAAGCAGGAAACTAGTGTGCAGAATAAAAGCAGGAAACTAGTGTGCAGAATAAAAGCAGGAAACTAGTGTGCAGAATAAAAGCAGGAAACTAGTGTGCAGAATAAAAGCAGGAAACTAGTGTGCAGAATAAAAGCAGGAAACTAGTGTGCAGAATAAAAGCAGGAAACTAGTGTGCAGAATAAAAGCAGGAAACTAGTGTGCAGAATAAAAGCAGGAAACTAGTGTGCAGAATAAAAGCAGGAAACTAGTGTGCAGAATAAAAGCAGGAA